TTCTTCTACTTCCTTCAACACGTCACCTCTACCTTTAGACCAGTGGTTCTCAACATTCCTCACACTGCGACCCTTTATGACAGTTCCTCATGTTGTGGTGGCCTCCAACCATAAAATTATTTCATTGCTACTTTATAACTGTATTTTTGCTAGTGTTCAGAATCATCATATAAACATCTGATATACAGGATATCTGTTATGTGACACTCAAAGAGGTCCACTGCTTGAGAACCACTCCTTTAGGCAGTGAGAGTGTTGGGGTGCTTGCAGGGTCAGAAGTAGAGGAGGAAGAGGTTGTGCCTATCAGGTGTGCTGTTATGAGCCGGGAGACCCTTCTCCCCTCCACCATCAGAGTTCTCTTCTCTCCTTAGAACTGCATCAAGCTTTCTTTGCCTTCCAGACACTAGTAAGAGGAACGGGAGGGGCTGCGGAGATCGCTTTGTTGGCAAAGTGCCTGCCTTGCAAGCAGGAGGGCCTGAGTTCAGATCCCCAGTATCCAAGTCAAGAGTCTGTCATGGTGGGGTGTGTGTGTGTGCATAGCTGCAGGGGCAAAGGTGGGCAGATCTGGTCTAGCCAGTTGGGGAGCTCTGGGTTTAGTGATCACACAAAATAAAGCAGGCAGAGGAAAGAACTCGATGTCCACTTCTGGCTTGCACATGTGCATACTTTCACATTGCATGCATGTACATATGCACAAACCTACTATAAAGCATGAGCACACACGCAGGCATGTGCAGTACACACACGTGTACACACACACACACACACACACACACACACACACACAGCTCTGTATTCCCCTCTAGTAGTGAAGTGTCCCTTCAGCGGCTTCTAGTAAAGCCTAGAGTTTAAGATAAATGTAAAAATAAACTTGTCAACTGTGTTTTAGATTAATGATGGAGTCTGATAAGAGAAAATAAATTTATTCTAAATATAGTTCTGCTTATGAGCTGCTCAAATTTTGTGTTTCTCAAGGCAGGGCTTGTCTGTGTCGCCCTGGCTATAGTAAGACTCCTTCTGTAGACCTGGCTGACCTCAAATTCATAGAGATGTACCTGCGTCTACCTTCTGAGTCTGGGATCACAAGTAACTGAGGTAACTGGGTGACCTACAAAAGCTCTGAAGTCTGAGGGTGAATTTTGTTATTTCTTTTTGTTTCATTTAAGAAAAATCAGATTTTCTTTGGCTTGAAAATAACGTTTTTCTCGAACTGGAAAACAACTCTTTAGGAAACAAGTGTGTTTCAAGTTTTGTGTGTATTCCTACTACAGGAGAAATGCATTCATTCTTTTTAAGATGCACGGTTATTGTGTGTGTGAGAGAGGAGTGACACGTGTGAAGGGCGAGAGTAACTTTGTGTGGTCTCTTCTCTCTTCACCTCCCTGTGCCTTCTGGGAACTGAGTTCAGGCTTGCGGGTGTATGGACAGCTGCCTTTAACCTATCTCGTTGGTTCATGGCCTGCTTTTCTGACGCTCCTGCTCTGGGGGCTCTCCAGGCTGGGTGTGGGTCCTATGTTTTGCACTCACAGAAGAATTTTGAGATTCACATAATTTCTAAACGTCAACAGATCTGAGATTTATTGAACCCAGGGCAAGTTTATCTGAGGAATAACTAAAGTGAGCTAGTCAATGGGCGTGTACTAACATTTAACACATTTGATTGTAAGCCTCTGCGTGGGCTGTTTATCTTCTTCTGGTCTCCTAGGAATTAAGGGAAGATGCTAGCTATGCTATAATTAGTTTTGTGACATAAAGCAATACAGATTTTTGATGTATGCTATAGTTTGGTTTTCTGTTGCTGTGATAAAATAGGGACCCAAAGCAACTTGAGGGAGGAAAGAGTGTATTTCGTCTGATGGTTCTAGACAGTAGTTCATTACTGAGGAAAGCCAGGGCTGGAACTCCAGGCATGAATCTGGGGGCAGGAACAGAATCAGAGACCGTGGAAGAGCACAGCTTACCTCCTCGCTCCCAGGGTCACTTTCCAAGGGATGGTACTGCGTACAGTAGGATGGACTCTCCTATGTTAAGTAACCATGACGACACATACTGCCTATAGTAGAATGGACTCTCCTATGTTAAGTAACCATGACGACACATACTGCCTACAGTAGAATGGACTCTACTATGTTAAGTAACCATGACAACACATACTGCCTACAGTAGAATGGA